GGTGTCACTTGCTGCAGAGCATGTGATTGTTGCAGATCCAACCACTGCTCACAGGTTTAATAAGGATCAGTCTAGAAAGAGAAGCTCTGCAAACCTCCAAAATGTCAGACACTGCGGTATCATCACTCACAGCAAATGGGCTTCTTCCTCCAATTTCCACCTTTGTTTCTTTTTTGTTGTGATCCTCTGGGATCTTGTGCATAGCAGTAATGCTCTGAACTGTCCTGATGTAGAATATAAGACAAGAGGAGCAACAAGCTGATCTGGATTTCTTCTCTTGGAGCAGTTTTATAGAAGCACACTAAATGCATGTAGAATTCAACATACGTTACTTTAACATTAACTGACAACAAGTCAGCTTTCTGCTGCTGGCTGCCATGTTTAAGCAGCTCACAGTTAATATCAAGCAGACCTCCATTTAACTTTAGGCCCGGTAAAGACAAAAAGCAGGATGAGAGCGGCGTTGCTTTCCAATCTTCCGTACCCCTGTTCCCATACCCACACATGCCCTCAATTACCCTATGAGCACCGCATGTGCAACATCATTAATAAGATCCACTAATAATGGTGGCGAGCTCCATTGGCCGTGAGTGAGATTTGACTAATTACTGTAATTGTATTGGAGTCATGCTCATTAAATATGAAAATTGTGTTCTGTGAAATGAATGGGGTTTCATGATCACTCTTGTATGGACAGGCGAGAAATAAATTAGAGAACCGGTTCCCGCTGCACAATTAACCACAGTGCAGACAGCTACCTGCCACACCCCCCGGTCTGGTAATAGAATGTGTATGTGAGACTGTGTGTAATGCGTGGATATTTACCATTACTTGTTGCTAAGATTCTTTTTAATACAGGCAATATGCATGACCTGCTTCCTTATGAAACGAGGAGACGTTAATAATTCACAGAGCATATAATTGCAATTATAATGTTTTTCTCAGAGACGTTTCTCAGATGGATGATAATTTATGTTTTTTTTTTTGTCATTTGATTTGATATTAGCTTTTATCAAGTGCATTCCCTTTTCTGGTATATTTATGCTATATAAATGTTAAACATGACACCTCCACAGAATAATTTGCTGAGAATTTTATAAATATAAAAAATATCATGCTGTAATTATGCTCTCAACACATGGAGACCATTATCACCAACTAAGCAGGCATTTTGTGTCCATTTTGAAACACGTAAACCTTGAGAAAAGTAAAAATATGCCCCCCCCCCACAAAATTCAAAATTCTTATAAGGTGTTCTGGGTGCATAAATGCTAAAAAACAAGTCATGTTGCTAAGTGGTTGCCAGCTAAAATGATTGTATCAGAATATATCATGGCTAACTGAAGTTTTGTGGATATAAATGAGATGTTACAGCGGTGACAGAAAATGCTAGGATGCTATTATTAGGTGCTGCAGGGAAATAATGCTAAAAACAGGTCATTTTAGCCAGTTTGTTAGGCGGTTGCTGGCCAACATGGTAAAATCATAGCATCTGCTATAGATAAGAACCTGCAAGGGACTACGATGTAGAAAAGGAAATACAATGTTAAAGTTTGAAAAAGATCTTTCCGTTTGCCCTTCAACTTTTCATATGGAAAGTAGGATGTTGTCGATGCTTGTAATGTAGATGTGTTACATTTATGGAGGCCATGGTAGTGTAGCCATAATGTACTTAACATTGCTTGTGTGAATGGCATATTCATATTAATCTGCCCTGCACTTTGTTCTTTCAGTACAAAAACAAAACAAAGAAACAAAAACACCTTTGCAGCTGAAACATTCTAATCTTTGGATGACAAATGAGATTTTACAGTTTATGAAATAATTACTAATAAGCCTCCTTTAAGAAGCAGGGCAGTGGCTGCAGTTTGCATGGAGATGGTTGTTGTACCAGCTCATGTTGAGTGTGGGGAGCTCTCCTAAATCACTCAGATTCTGTTATAAATATCTTTGCATTTTCTATATGTGCTTATTAATACCAACCAGGTTATCTTGTGTGACGCATCATTTCATGCATCTAAAATATATCAACAGTGATTAAACACTGATTGAGGATCTGCTTAATCGGTGTTGGAGTTATGTGTGGGTGCTCTTTCCTTTCACTTGTCCCCTAAAAATTAGAGAACCTGAACCAAACTTTTTTTTAAATCACAGATGTTGTAATATTTATTGGCTGGCCAAGATCAACATGTGCACAAGCATAAACTGCTAAATTCCATCTTACATCAGAAACGTACGACCCATGAGCAATTAGTGAACAACTTCCACTCTGAGCACAACAGCCCTCTCTTCTACTCAGAAAACAGACTGTGCTGGTGACTCTTTACAGTAACTTTATTTCTTTCCACCATCTCTTGGGATTTAAACGGCTGTCAGAACTCCAGATCCTAGATGACGGTACCTGGGAGTGGCTACGTCCCCAGGGAGTGGAGAATTTTTTTCACCCCCCTTGTTTCTGCGCGCTCAAGCTGCTTGAGAAATCTTGCAATGCAAATGTGGTGCTTACCTTTACCGCCCAGTAACAAAACTGTGTTACAGTTAGAGGCTTCTGTGAAAGCCCTGATTTTGTCTGAGGAGATATAGAGGTGAGGAGCAGCAGGTAAACAAAGCATAATGTGGAGGTCAAATGCTAATGAGAGCTCCATTTGTTACATCTGGCTCTCCCCAAAGGCAAAGCAACAACGTCAAAGGCACCCAGACATAATAAATCATCCAAATAAATAATAAACTTCAGAGAAGATTCAGAGAAGACATCACGATATTCATTGTGGCTCATGGAATGAATTCACAGCCAAGTCCTGATTTCTCTCATGTGGCCTTATTTAAATTGTCCCATTTTAAGCTGCATGTACTTGAGACAGCATGACGCTTACAGGTCCATTTTCAGGCCTAACACCCTACCATATAATTTCCATCTGCTCACTGGTTAATAGGGTAAGACCAGCGAGAACCACATTATGAATTGTAACTTGCTTTAGCAGAGATAGAGGCCGTGAGAATTGAACAGATGCAGTGCCATGCGGGGCTTGCAGCTGTTGCGAGGCCTTAGAAAACCCACAGCTGTCCCCCTCTCTGTCTGAGTCCTTAAGTAAAAGGAGACTGCGAGACAGATGTGACTGATGAGGCGATGAAAAATCCAAAGAACAGGTGGAGTAACACAGGTAGTACAGTGCACTTGTATAATGTGCATCTAATTCTTTCTGTCTACACTCTCGTCTTTCCTTCATGTCAATCAGTTACTGTGGCTACCCATAGATGGCGCTCAACTCATTTTGAAAAGCACCGGCCTTCCTCAGGGCTGTCCATCACAAAGTGCCACAGACTGCATGGTGTTGGGGATGAGCTGCAGAGAAAGGCACCCTTACCTGTCCTTGAGCCAGGCGAGTGAGCGGGGGGTGGATAAAAAAGAGTAGATTCAGCATGTATGTACAATGTAGCCAGGAGCCATAAATCATGACCTTCTTCAATTTACACAGGGAGCATATTGATGGTTTCCTATCTCCTTCACTCACTTTCACCCAGTTACATTGTCTAAGACAACACCGCTCTGAGTACGTAACTGTGACTGACACTTTACAGCCTATTCTCAGTGGACTCTCACCTCAGTCGATGAATAATCTTCATGAGGCAAAGGAAGGAGTCCGGCTGCCCAGCTGTGGAGCTGAAGCATTTGTCGGTGGTACACGGTTGCACTAAGAGTGTGATTAAAGATTTAATAAAAGACCTAAGCAACAAGACTGGTTGATAAACAGACTACAGTGCGATATTGTCAGTGTCCCTTGGTAAGTACAGACCGCCCTAACAACTTGTGGTGACTTAAGGTGAATACAACAGGGTTTGCAGGATGGAAAGTCACTATAAGGACAGTGGGCCATGGCCTAATTCCCTTCTATATGATAGGTGAAAAAAAGAAGATCTACAAGTTCATAAGACACATTTTCTGTAGCTTCTTTTACTTTGCTTGCAGTTTTTTTTTTTATCAGTCAAACGTCGGCGAGGAACACCTTCACATAAAACTTCTACACATAAAAAGGTCTGCTGATATACAGTATAGACCAAGTTAATACACAGTTATGATTTGCAGCAATAATATGGAGTGGCGAGTGCAGCTTATGCCAGCATAATAAATAAAAAAATGAAAAAGTGACAAGCCCATTTATCTGTTTAATTCAGTCTTCTGTTGAGACATCTTTTCGCTGGACATCATAGCTGATTTTGTTTAGAGGAATGCTTTGTGGCAGGCTGATTAAACACAGACTTACCCCCACTCCACTCCACCCCACCCCCACCCCGACTCCCATATTGGCTGAAGTTGAAAGCCCAGTAAATGAAATGACTTCCACAGGATTGCACCACAAAGGAAGAGAGTGCGTCAGATGTGCATTCAGCCGGCGTTGTAGCCAACGCAAGGTCAAAAGGGACGGCGTGTAGACAGTTAACCAACTGACAGTCGGGGGGCAGGAGGATGCCGTTACACCCCGAGGCACCGTCTTGATAATATCCAAGCGCGCATAGACACATACACACGTGTAGACACTCAACTGGTCTTCCAGGCACTGCACATAAACTACCAGTTTTATTGCTTTACAACTTGCCTAAGGACTATTTATTTTGTGTGCATCTGTGTGTAAGTTTGATGCGAATTTCATCTTATATCTAGTGCAGGTTAAGCATAGGCTGCAATTATATTGTTAGTAGGTTGTGCAAATAAAAATGTATATACTGTGATAGTGTAACAAACCTCATTGTTGCTCATTTTGTAGATGTGGTTGCATCCTCGCTTCAACAAAGGATGTTACTGTTGCACCCAGAGAGGCAACTTTGTTACAGAAGACATCTGAAAAGTGCCGGGTGACAATTTGCAAAAAAAGAAACAAAGAAAGTTATAAACCTAAACCACGATAAGCTTACATTATCAGTAAAAAACACTGAAGACCAAAACTAAGCATAGCTATCCAATAAAAATCCTGTGCAGCTGTTACATAAACCATGTGATTTTATTGTCACTGTACATTCAGTGCACTGTTAGATTTGACTCACTCCAAAAAAAAAGAAGAAAAAGAAAAAAAAAGCATATATTTACACATGGATACAGTAGGCATGAACACAACAAACGAAACACAAGAAAATGCCACACAATACTGTCCAGTGAAACCCAGCTGTAGTTGCTTCTAACTTCCAATATTTTCCCTTTGTCTTCCCAGGACTGTGCGTGCATAGTTAGCCTGTCCTTTCCCAAGCATAAGTGTATAATCAAAATGAACCAAAGCTCCCTTTTATCTTGATTCATATATTACAAATGCTAACATATTGCTTTTGAGAAGGGGAGGGTTAATCCTCTTGGGTAATCACATGTCTGTGGTACATACACCTAGCAGGGTCCTTTATACACCGTGGACCAGAACGGCCAGGGAGGTTCCTCCATGTTTTATGTAAATCTCGTCATCTCAGCGTGCGCGGAGTTAAGGTAAAGTCCGCAAATGGAACAGCGAATAAGCAGCTTTCTCCTCCGAGGAATGTGTTCCCCAACCGCCGTAAGTTCATCTACATTTTTTTAATACCCAGCCAGTGATGTCACTTTATTTCTGTGCCACAGATTCCCAAGAGGAACCCATGGCCCGCTTCCAAACCCAGTGTAATTTTCAAAAAATATGAATTGAGGTATAGGGTCTAGACGACTTTACTCACTATATGTCCTGCTGTGCCGATAAGCAAAATCGATGGTAACGCAGTGTGTGTGTGTGTGTGTTTCAGCATTGAGATACACAAAGATACAGAAGAAAAAAAAAAACAGAAAATAAGACAATATCTCACCAAAGACTTACTTAAATAATTACCCATTGACTCAATACAGTGACTTGTATTATACAGGTTTTCAGTGGGCTCTAAATTTTGTTGCTAATCCAACATGAAAAACTCCCTAAATTGGCAAATCAAAGGATCATAGTTATAGTAACGAACAGCAGTCGTAGTATAGTGAAATATGCACATAATACATTTGTACAGCATGTCCACAATGTAAACAAAGAACAAATAAATGTCAGTCTGATGCTCCACAACACAAGGAACATAGGGTGGCCATATTTGCCTTGCATAGCCCAGTGATCGCTCTGTTATGAAACTATTACAGAGACTCATGAAATCGTCTTTGTAAAGGTTTAGACAAACCCTTCCCACCATCAACCAAAGTAAAACGTCTCTCGTCCCCAAGGTAGAGCCAAAGCAGAAATTTAATTGCTCCATTTCTACTGAGAATTTCAGCTTAGGAGACAATTAGAGTTAATTGGATGTAGTCGAACCGTTTTAGAAGTCTGGAAATAAATTAAGCATTTTCTTTTATTTTCTTATATTAATTTGGGAGAAGGGGGGGGGGGGGTGGAAGTTGGGAAACAATTAATCTGCTATCAAGTCTTCAAAGAGCATGGAGGTGTGTAAATGAACTCTGATCAGGAGGGAGGGTCAGTTTTCCTGTTTTGGTCGAGCTGGATTGCAGCCATTTACAGAAACACTCTCCTCAAATTAGTACAAAAAAATAGAAAAAGAAAAAAAAAATCCTTTCACTTTTTAGACTTGTTTTTATCTCAGAGTGAGACTTCACAGAACTAATGATCGATCAATGCCTCTATTGAGCGAACAAAAGAAGATAAAAGATTTCCAGCATGTTTTGTTGTTAGGTTTAGTGGATACAGAGCAGAAAGGGTATGCTCACCATTAAAATCTGTATTTATGTGGAAACAGCAGTCATGTCTGCCTAATACAGCAGCTTTCATAACGTGTATTAAAAAGACAATAATGCTTTGGCTTGCTACTGTACAGAGGTGATGAATCCCTCATTTCAGCCGGGGACAGAAAAGCTGGTTAACAAGTGAGGAAGTGCATCGTGGGAATTGTATTCTCTAATGTATATGGTTATAATTATCTATGCATTACATTACAGTGAATCAGGAGTGTTCCTGTGGGAATCGTCAATAGTTACTGGCAGCTTGGCTTTATGCTTTATAATTGTTTGGGCAGAAGCTAATGGCACTTGACACTTTAAAGACTACTTTAAGTGTTCACGAGGGACAATATGTGTCTTACTAAAACCCTAAGAGCAGCTGTTTCATTTATTATTAGTATACTGTTTTGATCATATGGTAACATGTTCCATCTAACCTGCTCAGGTCATCAGGACAGGAAATAATATGTTCATAACTCTATCACTTTTATCCTAATTGAGTAATTTGGCAACTGGTTTATCACTGATAGATATTATGCTCCAAAAGACTACCATTACTTTTGGAATATACAGATTTATTAACTTAGTCTGTACTCCTTAATGGGAGTATGTTTGTACACAGTGCCTGTCTGAATATTAGCACCTTCATTAAAAATGAGCTAAAGACCAATAAAACTACAAAACATCCGAAAGCTGCATCTGGTGGTCAGTGAGATATATAATTTTCCACTATTGTTGCCACTAAGAATGAACTCGGAGAGCCTTTCAGGTTGTTCTCAGACAAACAAGTGTCATTATTGTGATTTGGATGAAAAGAGAAATTAAGACGAAAGAAAAGTGAGGAAAGTAAGGATCATAATGATTCCTGACAAAAAATAAATAAAATTTGGGTATAATTTAGCATGTTGCATATAAACTTTTTTCTTCCTTCATCTCATTTGCAATATGATCTTATGCTACAACCACAAATTGGTGTCTACAAAGAGTCTTTTTTTAAAACTTTATCAGTTATCCTGATAAAAAGTCATGTAAAGCATCATTTTTTTAGTTTAAAGCTCCTACATTCCTACATCAAAGCACGTGATGACACTTCAGTTGGAAAAAAAGACTTCCCAACAAACCAACTGGGACATTATGACAAGCATTTGAACGCACAAATTAATAATATTAATTGACTGTAGCCTTTATATCGACACAGATGATGTTAAATTAAATAGCAAATAATACTGTTCATACTTTACAGACATATTCAGCTATGGGCTATCAATATAGTGACACTTGTTGTGTTGAGAACAAACTAAAACAAAGGTGGGCAGAGTTTCACAAGAAAAGGCAAAGCCTGTACAAAATATCACAATCTAGCGCACCATCGTCAACAAAAAGCTTTCGAAACAAACTGAATGATATTGTATAGTTGCTGAGGTCTTCATATTAGGGGTGTCAGTTTGCATTAAAGGGCGTATTACATTGCATTCATTGTGTTTAACTTCATTCTTAAATATAGCTTATCGTTATCACGTGCAGGTTTCACAGTACGTTTAGTTGCCAATAGATGTGCATGAGGACAAAGAGAAGCGAGGGACAAGTTTAGCCTCTAAAAGCAAAAAGGACCGAGAGAGTGAGCTGATACAATACTCATTATTGCCACATTATTCATAGCTGCTCAGTGCAAACTCTCAGTGAACTCTGATCACCAGCCAACCACCGTCCTTCTGCAAGCACCAAGTTGACCGAACCACTGAGCTGATGAAGCTTCTACGAGGTAAATATATAATGAAGAAATGGAGAATCTTACTGTAACGAGTACCACTGTCTTCGATGGTCAATACAAGAATATGTCTAACAGTTCTCCCTCCCCCAACCCCACATGTCCAGTGCAATTTCACACAATATACAGTACACATATTATATGTAGACCAGTTAGAGACTATTGCTTTAACAGCTTGCGATGAGAAAACGTGAGAGAAGGAAATAAAAACATGTGGCTACGTGGCTGTACAGTTCTTGAGGACATTTATATTATCACATTTCCATTTTGAGATGAAAATAAGATAAGAAACAAATTCACAGAACCTTCAGGTGATATAGAGCAACGGGTCTCTGGTTATAACAAGACCTCGGCTGCCTGATTTCTGTACACAACATCTTTATATACATAATCGTGATCCCCTGTCAATCAGTCTGATAATTGCCCACCTTTTAAAACTATTTCAAGTCCCTTTAGTTACCTTTAAGTTTAGTTTTGTTTAAAAGTGTTAAAATGACTCCAAGCTTCATCCTTCCATTGTCAGTTGGCACCACCTTTATTTATTGATTTATTTTTTAATGGGCTGTCCCTCGCCTCGGATTGGGTGATGCAGCTGCACGTCAAACACCCGGCCCGGGTGTCAAGCCTTGGCTTCCAGCATCTCGAGGAATAGTTTGTGCATGGGGACTTTGCCCTGCATTTTGATGCTGTAGAAGTGCTGAACGGCCTTGGTGGCAGTCTGACGGAGCAGAGGCAGGGTCATGAGCAGCTTGCCTGCCCGCCGGGGGTCCTCTGGGTGCTGGGAACCCTCAAAATCCTGCAGGGCTTCATGAAGAGAATCCTGGAGCCTTTGGACAGCCTCGATATTCTCTATGTGCATGGAGTCTGGAGCGAGAAGAAGAAAGTCGGAATGACAAAAATGCCTAAGACAAATCAGATGTTTCATATCTACATTGACAACAACTGCATGTTTTGCAGCTGCATCATCTGGTTTTAAACTCAGTAGCTTGTATATGCAAACGTGCAATTTTGCTTCTTAGTGCTTAATGACGCTCCTTAAATAAATGACTATGCATGGCTGGGAGTCTCGGGAGACATAGGAAGAGAGGGAAGTACAGTAGGTATATATAAATATACAGCAGGAGAGGAAAAAAAAGATTCATTTCTTTTGGTATCATGGACCACATACATCCCCCCTGCTAATGAATTCAGATGGCTGCATTACTAGGATATCATTCAGCTGAATGATGGTGGCAGATGGGCTTCATTTCCATAAGAAAGAGCAGTTGGCCCCCTTATGTATAGGCTCTAAAATAAAACCAGTTGAGACTTATTAAAAACTGCTCTCTACGTATAAGTCTACATGTTGGAGGGGAAAAAAGAGAGAAAAAAAACCAGGCTTGTCCTCCGAAGGACGAGCTGACAGCGAGCATTTTAATGGACAAGCACTGGTTTGCTTTCAGCCAATTTCACTGCACTGACATACTGTGTCAGGTCTAATCTGTGTATGCATCATATCCACAATTCATTAACTCACAGATAAAGCAGTGCACGACGCAAATGCGAATTCAATACAGTATTATAATCAAATCTCACAGACTGAGATAAACTCGTCCTACCCTGGTAGTAATACGGAGTAGCGCTAAAGAGAAGGCAAACACGGCTGCTGATTGAAGTTTAAGTGAATGAGATCAGCTCTGCTATGTGTCATGAAAGTTGTGGCGTGAAGTAAGACCATGTATGAACATGTAAATGAGGCAGAAAAAAGGGAAAGTACAAGGCTAATTATGTTCCTAACTGACTGATTAAGTCTCTTTTACCAGTCGCCTTCTGTGTAAATTGCATTTCTATCTTGGGAAATTAACTAGGCTATGTGGACCGCACATGTGTTCCAGCACTCTTCATTTGAAACCTTCATGTTAATGCTGATCTGATCCTCATTAGGCTGCACGATCATGTGTGTGCGCGCGCTCAGATGTGAGAAAGAGAGTGGAAAATAAGCAATATGTTTTTAAATGGGTGCACGCATAAAGCATGAGTGTGTGTGTGTGTGTGTGTGTGTGTGTTTAAGGAGGCTGGGGCTGGGGGAGGAATGCAAAACTAACTTTGAAGAAACAATTTCCATGTAATCCGTCAGCAGCCTGGCGTCAATCCCGTCGATACTTTGCTAATTACAAAATCAATGGCCATGAATTTCCACAGCTGTCACACCCAGAGGACCACTGGAGCCGAAGCTCGCCGAGACTGTGTTCAAACGAGCCGAAGTTGCCCCCTCGCCCTCCCAGAGCAACCCCTCTGAACCCTAGCCTTCCTCTCTCTCTCACACGTCTTCCTTATATCTTTACCTCCCTGTCTTTCCATCACCTCCCCTCCTATTTATCCCCAACTTTCCCATGGAGTGTTTGTCATCAGGAGACTAAAGCTCTGGGCTCAGCATTTTTCATTTTTTTCAGTCAGGCAGGAGAAAAGACTCCTAACAGGCATTGATTAGCGGGGGACAGGCCCAGCCTCATGAAAAGCAAACTGTCAATACGGGCGCAGCATCTTCACACTGGAACAAATGAGGCCCGTCGCTCCCCGACGCTCATTCCACTCCACTTAACACATTTTATTGACAGCCCCTGTTTTTCTAATGAAATGCTAAATATATCTCCCTCGGCTGTGGCGCGCTGGCAGCTACTGTTATGGAGATGGAGAGAATGAGAGTGCAATGTGACAGTCACACACAAACACACGTGCACATGTATCTGCACACAAATTAAAATATAGCTACACACACAGACACAGACACAAAGTTAAATTAAAAAAAAATCTTGATCTTGACCTTTATGTCCTCTCTTATCGGGGATCTTTCATTGTGGGGGTGATGGTGCCACAAGATACCGATAACCACTTGACATTTTTTATCCCTGTGTTTTATTTCTTTGTCTGTTTAATTAAATGGCAACTGCCAGGCTTTACTTGAGATTTTATATAAAGATGTACCTTCCTGTCTATGTCATTACTGCGGAGAAAATAAAGGCTATTTGGCAAAAGTGACTAATCGGTTTTCGATTACTTGATTACAGTATTTTAATTTACTTTAATTTTATTTCTTTAGCGATAAATCACAGTCGCCTCAAGGTGCTTTAAGTTGGAGGGAAAAGAGCCTCCAGAGAAAACCCCAACAATCAGATGATCCCTGTACAGCAGTTGGCGACAGTGGGAAAGAAAAACTCACTTTTAACAGGAAGAAACCTCTGGCAGAGCCAGGCTCAGGGAGGGGCAGCCATCTGCTGTGACAGGGTGGGGGTAGTAGTCAACGCAAGTATGCCACTGAGCCACTACTATCTTTGGGAGTTTTAAATAGATGATTTTTGGAAAACTTAAACTCTCTGGAAGCCAAATACAATAAACAGAACTTGGTTTAGGATGTAATCCCATCATTTTGACTTGCATTCAGCAACACAATCCTGCTCTGCCTACTTATTGATGCACTATGATGTTTATGAAGATCCAAACCCACTACTCATCCAACGTTTCTATGAATTTGAGCCTACAATATTTATGCTGTTCACAAACTCATAGATTAGGATTGTGAATTTAAGTCTAACAGGTGAATGGAAGATTACCTGAGTTAGAGAGTGCAATGGCTTTGAGCGTAACAAACTCCTCCTTCTCCATACGCAGCTTCTTGTAGCGTCGGACCAATGGCAAGATGGCAACATGAAGGTCCAGCAGGCCTGAGATCCTCGCCTGCTCCTCATCTACCACGTAGTCCTCCGCATACATTATCTCATCCTCACAGGGCAGTGAGCGAAACACAATGCTCAGCACCAGGATCTCCATCCAGGCACTCTGCAATAGACTCATCTGGTCTGCCAGCGAGAGTGTGGAAAAGCCTGCAGGAGTATAAAGAAAATATATGTCACATTTGAACATTTTCTAGGTACTGCTGAGCCCTCACACAGAACAACCATGTGACATAGTAAGAGGGCAGCCTATTAACCCCCCTGCTCAATTGTTGCCTCTTTCAGTCCTCTGTGTGCTTTATGGGCTATGTATAATTGCTGCGCAATCCTCAAAGAAGTCCGACTTGAAACAGAGACCGACTGCTGTATGCAGTGGCTTTCAGGGAGCAATATAAATCAGTCAGGAGCAGAGGCCTTTGAAACATGAGCCAGGGCTGCCTCAGCCATCAACTCAGTCCTTCTGCAACCCACTGCATAAGCACATGAGACCCTGCTTAGTGAGGACAAATCCAGACTTAACACTGATTATATCGTATCATTGTCAGAGTAAGGACGGGTGAATAGACATTCACTTCTTCTTTACAACAACTTCAAAGTTAATTCTGTCATTTAAAACAGACTAAATTAATGTACTGAAATTCCAACTGAGAAAATAGGAAGGAGAAAAAAAGAAGATCGTGTGGATTTATAATTAGACTTCACCATTTTATAGTTTTCGCATTTTCTAAGAGACTTTTGTGGGATTCCTCCACCCTTTTCATAAAAGGGTAAAGAAAAACCTTTCAAACAGTAATCAAAACACTTCTGAATCAAAAAAAACAACCTCTGTTTGCATCAGAAAGACCATCTGATGATTTTTTTTTCTTTTAAAGGAAGCAAGTGAAAGTACCTTTTATCTATAAAAGATATAGCCTACAGGTTTATAATACTTATATACATAAAACATTTACTACAACAAGAAACTCTAATAGTACATGCCCATGTCACGGTACTTTCTGACCCGTTTTTGCTGATGGCCATTAAATTAAAATGATCAATGCTTTATAAATTGTAGCCCCATAAATGCACAAATTGGGTCATTTCAGCCCACTGCCAGGTGGTTGCTATGCAACATGATGATAATATATCATGTGTAATTCCACTTTTGTGGATATAAATGAGATGTTAATGTTGTGAATTGAAAACAATAGGTGATGATGATTTCATGAGGTATTGTGGATTGTTGTACATTCAAGGTTAAAAAGGTAATTTTAGTCATTTGTAATATGGTTCTCATGGAACCTGAAGGTATCATAACATATCATCCATAACTTAAATTTTGTGGATGTGTTATTGTTGTGAAACTAAAACTATAAAATCCTTTTATAAGTTGCTGCAGCTTCAGAAATGCTAATATCATGTCATTTTAACCTGTTATTAGCTGGTTGCTGGGCATCAGAATATCTGATATAGACAACAACCTTCAGGTGTATCAGATGAGCCTGCGTACCAAGTTTGGTAGCAAAAACATATGGACAGACATACACAGATTTGCGTATCATAGTAAAATGTCTTTTTTCCTGTTCATGCACAATCATTCCCTGTATATGAACATGGTGTCTCACTCTAATCCTGTTCCTGCCTATCACATTGTTCATATTCTTTATTGGCATCAACTTTCAACTCACCTCTTCTGGCTGTGGACTCTGAACTGGTATTTATTGGTTAGTTCATTCACAGGAATTTTGAGCCACCATGATTAAGAAACTGGATCTGTTCTGTAGCTGTGGTGTAGTTCTCCCAACAACATTTACCATCATGTATCACAAGTGTATTAATGTGCTGATTTTCAGTGTGTGAGAATTTGTTTAGAGTTTTGCAACAGGAGAAATCAGGTCTGTACATATACTGAATAACATATTCACTGGGATTGGGATGGAATTATGAAGGGGAATGCTTTAAACGCAGCAATGTTAAGATCCAAAAACAAAGCACACATGCAGGCTTCTTCCTGTGTTGTTCAACCTTTTGAACTTGGTGTGGCAATTCATCCAAATCTCGAGGTCGACCCATCAACTTTCACCTCTAACATTCACACACACCACATCAAACACCTGAAAGGACCTCAATGGCCACAATACCTTTCACTACTCTATGGTGAATAGGAAGGTGATTGGGGGATATTGACCAGGGCCTTGAACTCACCACGCTGCTTACTTAAATCTTGAAACTTGTATGGATCGGAATCGGACAGGTTGACTTAAAAGGGGTCCTCCCGATGTTTCTTATCAAGCAAATAGAGGAACGGCGGGAAGCGAGAGAATGAAACAGAGAGAAAAGAGTGCTGGGGGTGTCATTGATTAGTAGATTGTAATCAGTCCACCAAATGCGAAAGGGTATCGATCCAAGCCTCAGATCTGACAAACAGACATTTGATGGAGGACATCCGGTACATGTTTAGTGGGGGGAAGAGAGGACCACAGGATCACTGAATGTAGATATCAATGCTGTGTCAGGAATTCACGAGTTTACTCCAGATTCCCCAAAGACACTTCTGCAAGAGAAATGAATGGCCTAAATTTGGTGAGGCTTATTTAGAATAGTGAGGCAGGACTAGGGATGGGTACCGGTGTCCGGTGCCATGATGGCACCGGTTCTGACATAAACGGTAGTAACCAGACCGAAAAGCAGCGCACATTTCGGTGCTTTATTTCGGTGCTTTTTTTTCCTGAGCTGTGATACACTTTAGATTCTAGCCAATCATTTTACGTTTCCGAGGATAGTAGGCGGGGCCAGGTACGTACGTTCTGTTAGAGCAGAGCTACAGATTAAAAATGTCCAAGGCGAAGCGGTCAAAAGTCTGGCTGTACTTCACAGCAAAATATGCAAACTCAGCAGCCTGCAACAAGTGCTTTAAGCTGATACTGTGATACTGTCAAAGGAGGTAACACCTCAAATCCGATGAAACACCTGGCGACGCGTAGCGTTTTTTTTTTAAAAGCCCAGAAATGCGCCGTATTTGATAGCTTGCTGCGAGACCTCACACCGAGCACATCTACTGCGGGTGGGTTGCCTGTTATGCAACATCCCCCAAAAACACGAAGAGGAGAGTCCTGGCCCCTAGCCCTGCCAGTGTAGCAGAAATGATGACAGATGATGGTGGCAGCAGCCGTTCTTCTCTGCGTGAGTAGCTAATTTACGTTGAGTAGGCTAACCACGTTATTACATTAATGCATGTAAGGTGAACTAGCAAACATCATCATAGCTACATGCGGCTGTCTTCTTGTTTGATGGCAGATACTCCCTTCACCCTGGCTAAAAAGGCTAAAATGACCAAAGAAAAAGTGGAAAACAGTTAAACATGAGAGGTTTAGGACAAAGTTTGTGTTTTTTCCATTGTTTAAGCACTGCTTCCAGCCAAGAGTGATACCATATATGCCCCATAGCTGCAGAAAAGGCTAACATTGTTATATTTTTTACAACAGCTGAACATGAGAGGTTTTTGGACCAATTTTGTGTTCTCCATTCTTTAAGCACCGTTTGAGCACCGGCACCGTTTCAAAAGTACCGATTTGGCACCAGTATCGGATAAAACCTAAACGATACCCATCCCTAGGCAGGACAAAATAAGTCTGACAGTTAGAAAAAAGTAGCATAGTTACATACAGAAACAACCCGTTTAAATAACTATAAAGCAAGAACACTTCAGGCTAAAAATCATGCTTATTAGCTCCATTTAATGTAGCATACCTTTAATATACTGCCTCAACATAAAACCACCAATTGTGCAGAATGCCCTCCCTTTGTGATGCCAAAAGCTTGCTTATCATGGGTAACCTGTAGTGTCAGGCATCAGGACATTGGTAACAAATGCTTTGAGTCTTGAGAGCTGCTGGGTGTGGCCTTCGTGAACCTGGGCTGTTTTTGCATGTGGGACAGATGCTCAACTGGACTTTGTAAATAAAGTTTCGAGCTCTTTGTAAAATTCCTCCAGTTGCTCCTGTGCAATTTTGGAACTTGTGACATGTCAAAGTAACATCTGCATGGAGGCCAGGACTAAAGGTTTTCCCAGCAGAACATTGCACTGTGCTTTTCATTTTGTGACTCATTGGTGAAGACATGCATATATTTCCCTTATTTTCCCCCAGCACTCCTGGCCACCTTTTTCTTTTCTCTTTTTTTTAAACACTCAATTTACTGAAGCAATTTAGTGACTTCCTGGTTTCCCTTGGGTTAGCCTGGAGCTGGATGTGCGTCGCCTGGAGGTGGCTGAGTTAAGTGTCACTGTGGAGGGTGAATCCCCCTGATGAAATATCAATATTTCACCCTAGTGATTTGATGCCGTTTGACCAAACATGACACAATACTGAGCAAACCAGGCAACGTCAGCATCTCTGTGTTTGCAGTCTCTCTGCATGGAGATGAAGAACATGAACAGCGACGCTGTTCTGCTAAACTACAGGGTTTTAGAGTATTTATGTTTTACTTGTTAGCTGAATAAATCAAAATCCTTAATTTTACATCCTATAGGCTTTATCGCTATGCGTCTTCATAGTGTAGTGACTTAGACATTTGCTTCACAAACAAAAGGTTGCTGGTTCCATTCCAGTTGAGACAGAAATCCCCTTTAGGGTTGCGTCAGAAAAAAAAACATGGGGAGCTATCAGCTGTGGTGACCCTTGTGAACAAAGAAGCACCCGAAACTAGGTTTAGGTAAAATTATTTTAAACTTAAAGTGATTTCTTTAAATTATTTTAAAGAAATCTAGACTATTGGAAAATGCCTAAAAGACACTTTGAATAAAAAAATGTCAGTGCAAGAGTGCAAATTACTACTTATAGGGCTCAATGAAGCCTAATTTTTGGAGGTTACAGTTCACTTTACTTCAACTCAATTTTATTTATATAGTGGGAAAAAACCATCATCTCAAGGCGCTTTATGTAGGAAGACCCTACAATAATTCATCAAAAACCCAACAATCAGACAAAGTGCTATGAGCAAGCTCTTGGCGACAGTGGGAAAGAAAAAAAACAACCTTTTAACAAGAAGAAACCTCCGACAGAACCAGGGTCAGGGAGAGGCAGCCGTCTGTCATGACTGTTTGGGGGCGAGGGGAGGGAGACACGACAAAAGATATTATTAATCTCTGGCTGTTTTCCAAAGCATAAGTA